ACGGGAGCTGGAAGAGGTCGATGTCCAGAGATATGGCCAAGCTAATGGCGTCGAAGGTCGTGTGCGAGGCGTGGCCGTCGAGCACAAGGGCAACTTTTCCCTCCAAGCCGCGTGCATCGAGCTGTTCGCGGAGGTCTCGAAGGTAGTCGAGGAACACGTGGCTCTGGATGAAGGATGACTCCGTGACGGTGTACTTCGCGTCGGGGACGCCGTTCTTGTCCTGGATCCAAGCGGGTTGCATACGCTGGCCTTTGTAGATGATGATAGGGTAGTAGGTGTGGCCGTCGGCGCCGATGCTAGCGACCACCGTCGTATTTTCTCGCGAGTTGGAGCGCCTCGCGCCGGGCACCTTGGTGCCTGTTGGCACGATAGCCTTCCCCGACATTGTACCTTGCGGGGTGGAACCTACTACAACACATTGGGGATGGAGGCAGTCGAACAATCAGTAAAGTACACATGTTTCGCAGCAGCAGCGCTCGCACACACAAAAAAGCGCGCTTACACACGCACATGAGCTCAGCTCGCACCGGGCGGTGGCACACAGCGGTGGTGACGGGACCATTTTTTTTCTTCAACAGCAGTCGGATTCGTTTTGACTTTGGGGGTGGATCAACAACCCCACACCCATGAAAGTTTACATTGAGCTCGAAACCAGGGTGGGTTTACAAAAGCAAGTGTCCTACTGAAGTCTCGGCTTGACTGCACTTCGCACAGCGTTGGCAACACACGTCCATGTGGAGCAACACCGGACACGCCCGCTGTCGCGTGTGGCACACAACAAAAACACCGTGTAGAATATCGTGCATGAGCCCTACCATTTCTGTGCTAGAGTGTAACTGAGAGGACCACAGGGATTGTTGCATGCTGAACCCTCAACCGGATCCAGCATCATATGCGCGTTGTGTGCGCCAAGCATGGCAAGCAGCAGCGGCCTCGGAAAGACATGCGGAACAACTGCTGTTGTTTTTTTTTCACCAGCAGTAACAGCAGAACTCCGCTTTGTTATGACATACATCACACATCGCAGTGCTGCTGGTACTTCGCCTACGAACCCACAGCAGTCGATACTGACACCACTGACACCTCAGCCCTTGCCCTAACTCACTTGTCTCGTCCGTGTTGATCATGCGGTCCGGCGTGAGCTTGGTCTCCGCTAGGTACGCTTCCCATGTCTTGTAGAAGGCTTCAAGGCGAGGCTCGTCGTCTTCGTTGATCCGGTTTGCTTCGTAGATGTGGGTGGCTCGCTCCGACAACCCCGGGTGCCTCGCCATGAATC